CCCGCCGCTGGGGGGCGCCCTCCCCGCCCGTGAGAGAAAGGAAGGGAGAGGCGGGGGGAGAAGCTCCCGCGCGGCCCCGCACCTCGGACAGCGCTCCCCGCACAGTGAGAGCCTCCGAGTTCCTTTCCTTCTAAAGACTTTTGTTATTGGTGTTGTTTTGGCTTGTAGAGAAGGCTTGAAAACATAAACCCTGCAGGCGTTAAAAAATGCAGATGAAATAGGCACAGCATTTATTATTGATAGAGTATTTTGACTTCTGGCCTTGGGAGTCAGCTGGGAATTGTTGACTCAACAGAGCCCAGCGTCACCAAGAGGAAGGCGGGATGCGCAAGGAAGCCATTCGCTAAAACAGCAAGGCTTTTAAAAAGACAAACTATCAGTATCTCCTTTATTTAGGGTCTGGATGGCTTCCCAAAATATGCTAAGAACACAAACAGGGTCAAACTGCAGGAAACAAAACCCTGGGGTTAGGCTTCACATGGCTGCTGCTGCAGCAAGGCTGCTATTTCAAGGGCCTCTCCCTGGCTGTTAATTACAATAATAAAATAAAGCCTGCCAAATTCATTATTTTGAAGGCCACTCCTTTGCCAGTGCTTGCTGAAACACGGGATCTCCTCCTATGGGGAAGAAGGAGGTTGACCTAAAAATACACACACAAAAAATGTGTACATATTAGTCATAACACACACCTGAACCAAACTAGCTGGTTTAACAACCAAACCTGCCAATGCCACCACAGTGACTTTCCAGACAGCTGCCGAGTGAAATCCCGTAATTATTATTGATTTCTGTGTCAACTACTCGCTGCTGGGCAGACATCAATCATTAGCCAGCAGCCCACTGCACTTCCCAGTGCATTTTTCACTAAAATTTGTTAGTGGAAGCGCTGGCCCTGCTTACAGCACAGAGAAGTAAACAGCATCCAAATCTGCTGCTGCCTGTGGTGACGTTCGTAGAGGTGGTTATTTTTCAGGTGTTTTAAATACAGCTAACGCTGCGCAGCCAGCGTAGGAAGTTGCAGTGGGTGTGATTGAGTCAGGCCAGTTCCCCGTTTCGGGGTGCAGCGGAGGAAGCGGCAGCGGCTGAGGCGACACTTTGCAAGGGAAAACACGCAGCGTTTGAGGGAGGTGCTGTCACGGTTTCCGAGTTTTATGGGGTTGGGGAGATAATTACGAAGCCTGGGAAATTCCAGAGGGGAGGAAGGAAGGGCGGGGAAGGAGAGGGCTGCCCGCCCCAGAGAGGGCGGAGCGCTGGGAGCGAAATCCGCCTTTTTTGGGGAAAAGCGCCCCGTTCCCGCGCGTTCCCTCAGCTGTTGGGCGGGGCGTGCCCGCGCGCAGGCTCCGCC